ATCCAGCCCTGAAGACCACGAGCACAACTTCATCTTGGATCGCTTTTGTTCGCGTTTTCCAAAGCATAAAGACGGACATCGCCAGGAAATCCAGGATATTCGGTACAATGACAAGTTTAGTTTTCTCCTTCCTCCAGACAGCAAAGGTTTAAGTTCACATTTCCCTTTGAGTGCAGAAGATGAAAAGAACCTCCACAAAGTATACTCATACTATCTCTGTGATGATGGAAAAGGAGCGGAACCTGTTGATTGGTTGTACAATAATGTAAGCAGGAAGTACACCATTAATCGTGATGACCTCGATGGGAAAAACTTTCTTGGTTCGCCAGTGCTGTATTTTGATAAGAAAGATAAAACCTTCGTAGTTGGAGTGGTTGGTAAGAAAGACAACACTTATTACCCAATGTTCCTCGAAAGTGCCTCACTGATTATTCCTGGTAAGAAGCTGAAGCTTTAGAAACAATTGTCTCCCTTTTTTTTTGTCCTCCCAAATTAATGATTTAGGGAGAGCCTCAAATGGCCTTTACCATTCTCTCCGCATGGAGGACAATTTGCCACAATTTCAGGGTATGTTGTGATCCTTGTTGTCAAAACAACGATTATTATGTATAGATTATACTGTATACAAGTAAACCCCATTCGGTGTCACCTGTAGTGAAATCCTTACTAGGTATAATTCCTTCAAATAACTTAAGTTGTAGTCCCAAAATTATTAAAGGTTTCATATTAGCATGGTGTTATTACAATAAGCTTTTTAAAAGGCCATAAAAGCTTTTAAAAACTATAAGTTCTTTAAAATGTTTGTTCAAATTATTCCTGGCCGGATTAAAATTGAAATTTTGCCACTAAAAAATCATATTATGATCACACTCATGTTCATTACATCAATAAAACCAGATGCATAGAAAAAGGTTGAATTTAATTGCTTACATCCTTACTGCAGTTGTTCCGAACAAAGTGGAAATTGTAGAATATCCAAGTGAAATCACCGAAGACAGAGTGACCTTGACGTGGAGAGCACCTAAAGAAAATGGAGAAGAGATAACAGGGTATACAGTTTATCAAAGAGGAGTGAATGAAAATGGCTCAGGTTCCTCCTGGGATGGAAAGTCTATTGGTCCAGGCGTTCTTCGCCATGAAGTCATTGGTTTAGAAAGTGGAAAAGTGTACGAATTCCAAGTAACCGCCACAAATCGGTACGGTGAGAGTGAAAGAGGGGAGGACGCGAAAGTCAAAGTAAAAGTGTTAGGTAAGGTTCTCAAACATGGCTTTAAACCACAACTAAATGAAAAACTACAAGCTAAATGAAATTAGCAAGGTGTCATTGCAGTAAGCTTTATATAGCTTTCTACTTAAAAAAAAAGTTCGGGTTAAAATTGAAATTTGGCAACAAAAAATTCTTGATACGAATTACAGTTATAATCATTAGATCAAAGACAGCACTTGCATCAAAAAAGGTTAAATTCTAAATTCAAATTTAATTGAAATTGCTTGCATCCTACTTGCGGGTGTTCCCAACCAAGTGAATTTTGTAGGTCCATTTGAAATAACTTAGGACAGAGTGACTCTTTTAAAAATAAACATATCAGTTTTTAAACTCTTTAAAAAATGTTCTTTCAAGTTTTCTGGAAAGTATTCCAGATGCGATTAGATTTGCAGTCAAGGAGTATTTTAAGGAATCAGTAGGGCACAGAATTTAGAAGATTCCAGTGATGCTTCTGGGGCAAATTTAGTATTCAAAATTTCCATAATGACGATACAAATCATTCACTGGAAAAGGTTCATGATAATTCCAATGTTTCTATAGGTGTTCCTAATCAAGTGGAACTTGAAGATGTCCCACGTGAAATAACTGAAGACAGAGTGATCTTGAAGTGGAGAGCTCCTAAAGACAATGGAGCAGAGATAACAAAGTACACAGTTTATCAAAGAGAAGTAAATGATGATTATTCAGATTCTACCTGGGAAGGAACGTCAACTGGTCCACACGATCTGCCACATGAAGCCATTGATTTAGAAAAGGGAAAAATGTACGAATTCCAAGTAACTGCCACAAACTGGTGCGGTGAGAGCGCGAAAGGGATGAACGCGTTAATCAGAGTAAAAGTATTGGGTAAGGTTCTCAAACGTGGCTTTAAACTACAACTAATTTAAATGAAAACTACAAAACTTACAGAGACTAGAAACATGAATATGCATGAATCTGCACGGCAGCAAAATGCTTTGTTCGGCTCTAACTCGGCTACCGATAAAATGAGGACCTCGAGTTATTTGAAAAATTGAAAACAATAGAACGCTTCATAAAAGTCACCCATAACAGCGCACGCCGTCTTTTTTTCTTACAATCGAAAAGGCAAATGAAATATTAACAAAATTCTTTTAAACGTCTTTTCTTTCTCTTTGTCCTTCGCTCTCTTCAATGCCTGACGGGTGGATCTTTAAATAAAGATAAAAAGCAGATAGTAGCGGGGCACTAAATCAAAGATGAACTTTCCTAACATGCACACGGTTGCTTACAAAACTTGTTTTTAAAAATAAACTACTTCTAAATTCTGCTTCCCAAAATGTTTCCACCATAGTCTACTAATGATTAAGGCTCATCATAAACAAAAATAATCTTCGTGATAATTTAAAAAGTAGCTCACAAACAGACGTGGATCGTAAATCAGCTCTAGTATAGAACTCTTAACATACGCCCGAAAGAACTTAAATTATATTACACACCGTATTCACAAATAGCGGCCCTCCTGGGATTAGCGAGCAGTCAAACGCCAAAACGGGTGTTGTAAGATAAAAAAGTACAAGATCATCAGAGAAGTGACTGGGTTAACGTGTCTGTATTACTTGGTGAGGGTGATACTCCTGTCTAATCTCTATCAGGCAGAAACCCAGCAGACCTAAAAATGAAGAGTTACGTTTTTGGCTCAAATGCAGAAACGATCCAGCGAAAGCGTTCACTGCGTGCAAAAGCTCCACCTGTTAGGCAGTAAGCACTTTAGTGACTATTATTCCAGCGATCGAACTGACGCTTGAATGTGTACGCCAGGTCGCTTCTTAATTTTAATTTGTTTCAGATGCTTTCACTGTTTTTCTCTTGGCTTGAATTCAAACGCGTCGTTCGGAATATCTGTGAGATTGTGAAACCAGTGTAAAATGAAATTAAATCGTTTTCTAATAGATTGTCTACGCAAAATCTACGCGATCGCAACTCATTGTCTTCTTCCAAATGACGCTTAATTCCTTCGTTTGAAATCACGAAGTCAGTTTCAACTTTAGCTAGGGGTGTTTTCAAAATTTTGAGCTCATCATTTAAAAGAGCGATCCTCTTCTGAGCCTGGAGCTTTCAGGATTCTCGTGATTCTTATAATTCATCAGCATCGAGCTCGTTTGAAATCACAGGTACATCGTCCACTACAGAAGCAAATCTACTGCCTAAATTGTTAGTATTAGAAGCCTTCTGTAAAATGATCGAGGTATTAAATCACATCTTCATCTTCTTCATCCCCGTTCGTGAACAGATCTTCCAGTCGACTCTGTTCTTCAGGTATTTGACTTGACCGGTTCGATGGCGGAGGTCGTTCGCGAGGAGAAGTTCGTCACGCAAACTTTGAAGAAATTGCGTCCCGTTCTTATTTCTTCTTTACAAAAATGAAGCGAGTAAACTCTTGCATTCTTCGCCGATAAAGGTTACGGCCCACATCTCTACGGATTTTCTGTAGCCATTGCCTGCAAATGCTTTGATCCCTCGATAAAACTAAAAAAACCCACTCTGTTTGCCTCAAGACCGAAGTTTCCCTTTTGTTTCCAAAGAGGGTCACAACGATTAACGAGGGACACAGAAATTAACGTTTGAATTTGACATCCCAAGTAATTTACTGCACACAATTAAGAAAAAAAAGAGAATCGCCAAAAGCTATCAAATCATTCCAACTATGAATTTCCTGACAGCAGCTAAATATTTTTCCCGTAACGCCTTGTTTTCGTGTTTGGCCACTCACCCGACCTAGGACGACGTATACTTTTATGGTGATGGAGGCCTAAAGTGGACATAATAGTTTTAAAGCTCTTTCGAAAAAAGCATTCCCGTTATGGTTGCATTTACAGTCAAGAAGTATTTAAGAAATGAGTTGGGCACAATTTTAGATATCTGAATAAATGAAGATGGAGCCGGTTTAGCATATTAAATAGGGAATTATATTATTGTGCAAACTATCAAACAAGGATTATGACAATTTATGATGATACATACATCATAAAATATTGATGTTGATTCCACCCTTTCTGCAGGTGTTCCAAATCAAGTGGAAATTGAAGAAGTTCCAAGTGAAATAACTGAAGTCAAAGTGATATTGAAGTGGAGAGCACCTGAAGACAATGGATCAGCGATAACAAAGTATACAGTTTATCAAAGAGAAGTGAATGAAGATGGCGCAGGTTCTTCTTGGGAGGGAAAGCCTACTGTTCCAGAAGTTCTTCAACTTGAAGTCGATGGTTTAAAAAGCGGGAAAATGTACGAATTCCAAGTAACTGCCACAAACCAATGCGGTGACAGTTCAAGGGCAGAGGAACGCCCCTACTTAGTCCAAATTGCTTGTGGTAAGTTCTAGTCGCCTGAAAAAACAATAGATTGCACAATCGATCTCCACTAATGGTAAAAGGTACAACAGTAGCACCCAATATAAATGAAACAGTGAAACAGTGGGCGGGGGGGGGAATCACACGGCGAGGGAACTCGCCGAAAGAGTGTATATAGGGGGACTTTAGAAAACTGACTGCCAATTAACTGAGAACGAAACCATGGGGGGATCATTAGAATATAACAGAGCATATGGGGCATCAGGTAAATTTTGTAATGGCACAACCAAAATCCCCCATCCCAAACTTCCCCTCCCCCCACCACACATCCGTCCGTTGCTTCTCCACCCATGGCCAATGTCCTATCTCTGGGGGGGTCTGAATAGTCCAACTTAACGCGACTAAACCCTTGTGAAATAATTTGAATATATCAACAAAGTTGAAATGGTAAACTGGCCACCGTTACGATTATAAAAGCTGACGTTTCGAGCGTTAGCCCTTCGTCGGAGCGACGAAGAAGGGCTAACGCTCGAAACGTCAGCTTTTATAATCGTAACGGTGGCCAATTTACCATTTCAACTTTGTTGATATATTCAAATTATTTCGTTACCCCCACCGACGCAGCCCCAAACAGTTTCTTTAGAAACTATCAGCCTTTAAACCCTTGTGACTTTCAGAGAACCCACTATTATATTAACATTATACAGTGCTGATTATTTTTTTAATTTTTTCCCTTTTTTAGTCTCACCTGAATCTTTACTAGAGTTTTTTCTGTTCAAGATGGTCATGTTTTTCAAAAACATCATTTGGTATTTGAGGAATGGAACGGAAGGTAATTGTTATGCCAGTTTATTTGTATATCTAAGTATAATTCAGCATTGCCATGGAAAAAGTCGAAACTCAAGTAAATTTGAACTCAGAGGTTTAGAAACTCATCTCGAAGAAACCTCTATTATTACCTCTATTATTACCTCAGACATAAGGTTAACGCGCTTAAAAAAAATAATTTCGGGCAGTTATCGCTATCACACATAATATCAAACTAGAGTAATAGTAATTTTCATATATGCATGGAAGTATTACTCCCCTGGTTGGTACCGAAGGTCATTTTTTGGCGTCTAGGCCTGTGGACTAAAGGCGAAACTTAAGATTTCGTGTTTATTTATCACCTTTTTAAATATCATCTTTTGCCTTTCCATAGAGTGAAGAAGTCATGGATTTCGAAACTGGACCAGGAAATAGGATGGAGCAGCATAACCAAACCCGAAACAATCTTCACCTTGATACTCAAAACCGAAATTGCAATCTAAAATTACATCTCATGACTAATCATAAAAATGAATCAATAAGACTGGGGTAGACCCCATCAGAACCATGCAACCAACATTTGAATTATGGTGTGAGTTCGTGTGTTTCTTTTTTGATACATAATGAACCAACGACAAAACGAAAGAAGAGTACAGTAATTACCATTTTTCCTGAAAGTCTTCAACTGTGGTTTATACCACGGGTCTTCGTTCAAAGAATAGTTAACATATGGATAATATGTAAGACCTTGTCGATTAAATGTGCAACTGTAAATTAATGCAAAAGTCGTGCAGAAATTGAAGGTTGGTTGCAAAACTGAAGTACTTTAATTCATTTGCAATCTGCAAGTAGTGATGCTCGACCTGCGAATCCTGTGATATCACTAAGAATCTTTCATCCATGATGAGGAATGTATGGAAGTAGTACTAACAAACCATACTTCATTCAACTTGCAAAAATATTATGATGAACAATTTTTTTTTGGTCCAGTGTCAGCATAAAGGTATATAATTTGGTTAAAGCAGAAGTTTGGCAATTAGGTTTAAGCATTAATATTACCAGAGGGATTACCGATATACCTTCCATTAACCTTCTCGTAAACAAAACCGATCAAGGAACTGTCGTAGGACTCTTGTAAAAAATGAACGATCTTGTAAATCATAAACCGATTTTAGAGAGACCGAGTTTGTTTCTGGGTACCTTTTAAAGTATCGAGTAGCGCAATTAAGTTGATCAAAAAGGCTTGAACGGATTCTGTAAACTAGTGGACTCTGACAATGAGGACCAACGGATTCAGGGAGATTAAGGGTACCAGAAGGACCGTGACTCCTGTAAATTTTTTCAGGTATTCTAAGTTCAATCGATAACAAGAAAAACCGCAGTGCCATTGAGTATTAGGATAGGAACATTCTCCCACCTCTGGGAGTAGGTATGGCGGACAAAATAAAAAGTTTGTAGAACCTTTAAGACGGCGTACGTGTGAAAATAACCAGGGGAAGGCCTCATATATATATTTTGTGTCAAACAGTACTGTCTCTGTACTGCACCAGGATACTCATGTCCGTTTTTCTCAGTTTTGTTTCGGCTCTCGCTACCCATTTTAAACAACGAAAGAGAATTCTGATACTCTTAAATTTCGTACATTTTGCCTGATGGCGATGTGATTTTGTGTTTTTCGTTTCAATCTTCAACATTTTTCCGGAGAGATCGTCACAATCCCCGGTGAAAAACGGGTTTGGGAGAAAATCCCAAACTTGTTTTCGGAAATATTTTCTGCTAAAGGTAAAGTGGCATTTTCTATTTTGGGTTTCAGAAAATTAACTTTAGTTACAAAGTTGATTTTACAAGGACAGAGCTAAAACAGACAGAAAAGAAGCTAAAACAAAAACAAAAACGAAACAGATGAAACACTATCAAAGAACATGGTGGCATTCCGGCACTTTTAAGACTAACTTTTTTTAGAGAAACCTTGTGCTTGTTGTAAAAGCTCTTTCACTTAAGGCCTGGTTACACAGGATCAAGATAGCGGACGAACCTCTTCGAGTTCTAGAATCACCTTGCATTGAAAAGTAACATTCCATTGAGAAAAAATTTTTTGAAACCATCGAACAAGGCGACCTAGTAATGATTTTCAGAGAAGAAGACATAAGGAAAGCAAAGGCTGACTCGGTAAATTGTCAGGTTCTTTTAAATTAGTCAAGACAATTATTTGTGTTAGATAAGGATATAACAACTTCTACTTGATAAGTTTGAGTACTCTCATTACCTGTTTGGAATAAGAACATTCTACTGACAACAATCATTCACTTGAATCTGATGATAACTTCCGCACAGGTTGTCGAAACGTCAGTCACTACCACCGACAACAGTCCCTCTCAGGACTACACTCACCCGGACGATCAGACTACAAGTTCACCCTTGTCATATCATTAGCCGAACTGTGAGATCAATTTATTTTGATTATTCGTAAAATCTTTAGACACCTTGCTTTGCTTACTTGAAGTAAATATTTCTGCATGGAAGGCCTGGTTACACCAAATCAAAATGGTGGACGAACCTCTTCGAGTTGTCGAGTTTTACAGTGGAATCGGAGGAATGCACTATGCTTATAAAGGTAATAAAGTACAGAGAACGTGATAATGTTAAAATGACTACTGAATCTGTTCAAATCATCAATTGAGACGATTTCAAAACTCTTATCATTCATGTCGTCTTCTCAGAAAATCGATCAAAACAGAATTTTCGCCTCCCATTGTTGCTGACTCAGATGAACATGCTGCGGCAAAAGTTTTCCTTCCTTTTCTGACACAATAACTCATCATATTGAGAAATAACCTTTATTGAATCTAACATGAAAGTGTATAAAAAAAAAATTTTGCAAGTCACAGTTCTCCTTTTAAGGAAAAATATCACTAACCTAAACTACATAATTATATGGCTATGACTAATAAAATTAAAATGTGCTGTTTAGGTAGTCTATATCTTACTTTAAGTCTCTTGACAAAGGAAATGCCTCACGCTTTGTAGAGATGAACTTTACCACAAATGAGTTTTGTGCTCGTCACTATTATCGTCTTAAGTCCATTCCTTACTTGTCATCAGCTCCATTGGCTGCCGATATGACAGCGTGGCATCCGGTCAATTCGCCACCACAACAAACTCGCCACCACCTAACTCATCACCAGTGACGATTTGACTCAGACGTTATGTGTAGCCTGTCTTGTGAAACTTACATCAAATGAAAGCTAAGATGTAGTAGTATATTTCAAGAAGGGAAAGGGACTCAGAGGTTATGTGTAGTATCTCAATTATGGTGTAAAACTTGTTGATATCCTCACGACTATGATCAGTTTGTGTGTTTTTGGTTTTGATGCACAAATTTAGAATGCAGGCAAAGAAAGCAAAATTTTGCAGAAAGCAACTTGGCATCCTCTGGGGAGTCCAAGAAGGGCAGATGAATGAAGCATTGAATTTATTAGAACAATAAGTAGTACGTCAGTGATGTTCCTTCCAATGGTGGCATTCCATTAACAATCCAAAGTTCTGAAATATGTTTAGTATTGGCTTCAAAATACTTTCTTTAGGCATAAAAACTGTGTCCTGCAGAGCCCAGAACTCAAGAAGTAATAATTATATCAAAAACGAGATTGAGTACTTCATTGCAAGTTCCAAACACTGAGATTGTTATAAATTCAAAGTTTGTTATAAATTAAAAGTTTGTTATAAATTAAAAGTTTGTTATAAATTCAAAGTTTGTTATAAATTCAAAGTTTGTTATAAATTCAAAGTTTGTTACAAATTCAAAGTTCGTTATAAATTCAAAGTTTGTTATAAATTCAAAGTTTGTTATAAATTCAAAGTTTGATCTGTTTGCCCAGCAGGGACTATCAGAGGAAACCAAGTTGCTTTCTCAAAAATTTTCATCTTCTTTCTTATTCCATTGTTCAGTGTTAAGAGACTAAAAACGGAAACTCACGATCTACACTGCCTTGTGTGTATTCAAATGAGTGAATCTCAAGTAAAAGTCTCAGATGTTGACAATTTATGTTTGAACTGCCTGACTGTAATCATAATCAGTAATTACAATTCACCAAATTGTATAATGCTTAAATTACAAAATTAAGGTAAATGACAAAATTCACATGTGAGTGTAAATTTGGTGATGTTCAGGCACAGGAAGTACACTAGGAAATTTTTTGCTTTTATTAGTAAACTGCATAAAGAATTTTCTCACAAACCATTTGGAATATCTACAGAGCTCGAAATTAACAGTATCCCATTAACCAATGGTTAGTAATTTTCAACATTTGGTTACTAAAAATGTGTCCAACTAACCCGACATGGTTAGTAAAATTTTCAAACATATTTAAACATTCAGGTGGACTTTGGGACAAAGAGCATGTAGACCCTACTCTCAGAGGAATAGTTAGTATACTCAAGTTTTTAAATCTACTTAAACTCTTTTTAGAGATTTGCTGGAGATGTACTGTTCTTGACTAATCATGGTAAACGAGAGGGAAATAAAATAGGTGCATAATTGTCAACGTTTTTAAGGTCATCATGCAATTTGAGCCAGTCTCTTTAGCTTGTCGTAGTCGTTATTATCAAAATGTTCAATATTTGAGATATCGTAACTTGTTAGCTTGGATACCAAACTTTATAATTTGGTTAGTGTAAAAAAAAAAGGGGGAAAAACCTGAAGTGTTAGCGATCAAAAAATAAAAAATTCAAGCCCTGATCTAAAGAGCTTGAGTATTTCCTTGGCCTGTTTTCTCTTTGAGATGTGACTTGCAGACAGGGGTCTTCTGGCTGTTATATTTTATTAGTCAGGAAAGGTGTTTTCTACAGGTGAGCTAAAATACACAAAGTGACTCCTACACATGCTATATGTGTTATTTTGTCTTCATACTCTAACTTTAATGTTCCTGTTTTTCATTCCTGCAGGATGTGAGTTTTCTGGTGAAGTAATTGCAGCCTTGGAGATCAACACCACAGCAAACCTCGTGTAACAATTAAACTTTACTGACACAAAACTGCTGCAAAAGAATATAGAGGTTTGTGCATATGATTTAGTAACGAGTAGTAAATGTACTGTAGGCCTGGGAACTAAGGTATACATGTGGGTACTCACATTATATTAGCAGATCTTGTGCAATCTGCAGTGCCAGGTTTGAAATTTGGCTTCAACTGTTAATAAGCTAGAGGAAATGAACAGAAATATTCGCCAATCTACATTTTAGATGCTTTTCCACAATAATTCACAGGATGACTAACCTGTAGATATACTGCATTTCCAGTATTGTAGGATTGGTACTTTGATAAGCTTTGATAAATCAAACCAGTTGAATAAAAAAAGTTAAACTTGTGCTCATTTCAGGCACCTGAAACTCCAGGTGCTTAGCTTCTTATGGTTAGGCTATGTTCCCAAGGAAAAAAATCAATTTTCAGACATCTTTTATCCATTAAGTGTATTAAAGTTTAGGATAATTGAAATGCCAAGCTTGCACAATACCCCTTACATGTACTCAGCAGCATCTTCATGCTCACCAAGTGCATTTATAATGCTGCAGTACAGGTGAGCAGAATGGTGGTGTTTGTGTTCTGTCTGCTCAACTCAATTTAATAGGCCTGCAATGTCTACAAAAGGAACAGCTTGCCTTAGTTTGCAATATTGAAGTTTTTTTTTTAATTGCTGAGGTGATTAGAGTAATGAAGTTCCCTATATCATATCTGCAGTTGAAAATTTACTTTGGAAACTAAGTTCAGAAATTTACTCTCCACAGCTAACTATGTTTTGCACCTTGAACAAGTAGAGTAGATTCCATGTACCATCAATTTATTTTCAGGGGATTACAGTCAAGGAGCTGGATTGTTTATCTGCTGATGTTTTCCTGATGTCACCACCTTGTCAGCCATTTACTAGGTATGTGTGCTGTAAATGCACACAGTTACACTATGTTCAAGATAATCTGGAGTTTCAACCAGTCAATCTTAAACCTTGGCACTCAAAATGCACAGTTTTTAGACATAACTGGTGTCTATTCTCAGTTTTGACCAGCAGCAAGGATTTAATGTTTCATTAACATAAATGTGGTTTTTTTTTTATTATAAGTTTGTGGTTTCCTTTCAAAAAACCCAAGTTGATCTTCTTTTGCAGATTAGGGATTACCTAGTAGGATCTGATAACAAGGAATGATGAAGGCTCTTATAATTAACACTTCCCTATAAATTTATTTTTTGTGTGTAAAAAATTCAAGAGTTACTTTGAATTCTTAACTTACAGGGTTGGTCTTCAGGGTGCATCCAGTGATCCAAGATCAAGAAGTTTTCTCCATATTCTTGAGCTCCTACCTCAGTAGGTCCATTTTGTTGTTACATTTATTTGCATAATACAGTTCTTTAGGCAAAATTCTCATCCAGTGTAGCCTGGTTGCAGGGTAACCAAAATTTTATTTTCTAAATGCTAGATTATCAAAGGCACCAGACTACATTCTAATGGAAAATGTAAAAGGATTTGAAACTTCAGATACAAGGTAAATGATTTATGTTGAATGCTCTTTTCCATTTAGGCTACATGAATTTTATCAAAGTAATAGGGGAAAAATGAAGTGATAAACTGTTATGTCCAGGGTTGGCGTAGTGGTGAGAGCGCTTGCCTTCCACTAATGTATCCTGGGTTCTATTCCCGGACCCGGCATCATAAGTTGATTGAGTTTGTTGGTTCTCTACTCTGCTCCGAGAGGTTTTTCTCCGGGTACTCCGGTTTTCCCCTCTCCTCAAAAACCATCATCACTTGAATTTATTTAATTTAGAGTTTATTTGCACTTACACACAACCCCACAAGCTGTTTAGCTTTAAACATTATAGTGTCTAAATAAAGGTGTTATTATTATTATTATTATTATTAGTATTATTATTATTATTAGTGTAGATAGGTACATGAGGGAAAAGAATACCAAGTAATTGCAATAGAACTCTACCATTTTGTGCAATTGATATCCTTGTTAATAGAAGTACAAGATACCATGTCATAAGTTTGGGGTTAGGTCTCAATGGGGACAAAAGTTCTGTTCCTCCCTCTTGCCACTCCACTTTACTTTTTCTTTTCTTGTAACCGTGTAATGTAGATGAGTTGTTTGTATTTGTTGAACCGTGGTGAATAAATTAAACAAAACAAAACAAATCATAACAATTAGTGACCCCAGCTTTCTTATACTAAAGCAGGTTGAATTACTTGATATTTACTTACAGTACCCCTCACTTGTACACCAACATTATATGTGTTAAACACTCATGAAAATTCCAAAGCACTGCATGTCACTACTTGAACCTGCATGTAATAAAAATTTGTGCAGGTGAGTGTTCGTTGACTGTGGCAGCATCATGGTTTATTTTGTTTGACATGGTTGTTTATTGTTGTATATAAATCTTTTTTTTCTTCAGAGAACATTTTCTTGAAACCCTTAACGCCTGTGGTTACAATTATCAGGTACGTTCAGACATTCTTGTTTGTATCATAAATTGACAAGAGTATGGATAGAGCTGAATAACGTGCACGCATGCGCTAGATTTTTCCGTAGCCTGCGAACAGGTTCCCGGGTTGGAGGAGCACGTCTGATAGAACGGGGAGCCTGTTCGCAAGCTAATTTTTCGGCGGAAACACGGATCTTGAGTCGTTCGCATGAATGATTTCCTATTCTGTTGCTTCGAGATGTCGTTTTCCCTGCCGCTTTTTTTTTTACAGAACAACCTCTAAAAACTTGGTACATCCCCTGAAAAGTTTTTAAAAATTATTTTTCTCCTTAAAACCTCTGGAAATAGGAAAATGCCTTCGATGAAAACAGAGTTCATCGGTTTGAAAAGTCAGCCCTTACTATTTTCCGCTAATTTCGCTAAATTTTAGACCTAGGACACTTGAGCCCGCGTTGTTGACGGCAACACGCTGACGTAGCATTTCATTATTCAGCTCTGTCAAGAGTATGTACATCCACAATCACAGATGTTTGGCAAATCTATTTTGAAACAACAACAATTTCCTTGTCCTGCTTGGTCTCAACTAAAGTGAAAAAAAAATCTGTAAAGTATTTAAGAAAACAATGGAAAATCAAAATAGCTAGTGGGGTTAATGGAGGCCTGATTAACTCACTAGGGTCTTTTCTTTAATCTCTCAGTTAGTACATGCCATATAGTTAGTCAGTTATGCCGGTGTCATGTCACTGTACAGCACGCTTAATTTAAAAGTTTGTTTAAGGTGAAATATTCACCCTCTATCTAATGCCAGAGGTTTGATAAATATCGTACTAACCTTGTTGTCTTGGTCCGCAATATAAGTTACGGAACGTCTTTTTTTTTCCCTCTTGTATTCCCATTTCTCGTCTGCTTTATACTTTATGAATAGACCATTGTAAGGAGAAATTCTGTCTTAGTCACTCACGAGTGATAAAGGATTACCTAAAGTCAAGTCCACGACCTTTGTAAATTATTTTTCTGAGGCTGAATAATTTATGAACAGTTCTATACTTTGTGCGCACACAGCACATATATATCATATCAGCCAACATTATCATCCTTTTTTTTCGTACAGGAGTTCTTACTGTCTCCAGTTCAGGTAATGTATACACTGAACATTGTTTTTATACTAAAAGAAATGAATAATGTCTTCAGAAAATTCTAACTGGGAAAATGAATGTATACCAGCCGTGTACAGTGTGTGGGGTAATTTATTATATGTGATAGCATTTTAACAGTATTGAGGTATACCAACGATACAATGATAATAGTAGTGATGTTGAATATAGCGGCAATTGTAACAGTTACGATGGTGTGATATACGGTCAGTTCTTAAAAATGTGCTCTGTTAAGCGCTCGAAAATACGAAGGCACAATAAAAATTCAAATGCTGGAAGGAGGAGGGTCGAGCTTGCTGAGTGTGTCAGGTCTGGAGACGAACAAGACGAACTCGAGAAATATGTGACTCCTTTCCCTGATCATTGATGGCAGTGATAAAATGATAATAATAATGATGTTAATATACGGTCACTTCTTAAAAAAGTGTGCTCAAGAGCGTCCACCGTTCACTTGCGTAACAAATATCATTGCAGCGATATCTCACTGGAGCGACATATCTTCATGATGTGCCACGGGTTCTACGATATTCCGTTGTAGTGATATTTCGCTACATCAGTAATATGTAAGAAGAGTGAAGCGCGCTGTTCGACGTTATAACCCACTCAGAAATGTTTGCGTGACTCTATTTACTACTTTGTAAAAAATTACTGGACAGTTATCACGCAATAACCCCCATTTACGTCGATATCTGTCCTTCGATTATTTCCGTTGAAAAGAAGGATAGCAAACTCAAGATTTTCACTTCTTTTATCTTTGTTACTTTACATTATAGAAAAACGAACTCTCTTTGTAGAGTCTACTGGTAGTGACACAAAAAAGCTCATCTCAAATGCTGCTCGGGAAAGAACAAAACAATTCAATAAATTTTGCTGTTAATGCGCGATACGAAAAGTAATAGGAGAGTTATAGAATACATAAACTTCCTTCTGGCTTGCTGGCATTTCGGCTGATGATGTCCTTGGCTTGAAGATTGTCCTCAGACTTTCGCATTTTACCTCGGAGTTTCGCTTTAAGGCGACATATTCATTTTCCGGACAACATCTTAGCCGCAAACATTATCAGCCGACATACCAGCCGCATGAATAATCGTTCGAATTACTTTTGCACTCTGTGTTAGGCCCGGCCAGAGTTTTTGTGTATTCAGCTATGGACTGTCTTTTCTAATCATGTTTACGATATCTTTGTAACCTGGTAAGGGTATGAAACTATCACATTCGTCATGAATGTTCGGTGTTAAGTATGTAGAGAAGAGCTGACAATTTTGTAAATTTGTCTAAATGCATTCTTAACACAATTAGTTATTTCAAGATGTTTCAGTATTCCACTATCCCCCTGTCTTTCTCCTCAGTCCCCGGTCCCTGACTCGGCCTGAACCATCTACGTGTAACCTTTTTTTTTATTCCGCATCAGTGAGATATTAAACAAGAGCAGGTTCAACAAATAAGTGCAAGCCTATTTTAGTTTAAACCACAGTGGGTAATGGATGATACGAACCTGTACATGTACTTGTATGTCGTGTGAATGTTATGCGGTAAAGAACTGTAAAGTACTTTTTGTGTACCTGTTATAACATGCTTTCACCGTTACATTTGGAGTTCGGAATCCCAATGTATCTGTGTGTCCTGTGAATGCTATGCGTTAAAGTACTGTAAAGTACTTTTTGTTTGCTTGTAATAACATGCTTGCACTGTTACATTTCCAGTTCGGAATCCCAAACTCTCGTCTAAGATACTATCTTTTGGCAAAGAAGAAACCGCTTCGATTTTGCTTCCCAACAAGTGTTGAGGTAAACAGATTGAAAACTGCTTGTGTGGGCTTTAACCACCATTGTGATCGCGAAACTTTCTGAAATACTAAAATTAACATTAGCACACTAGTTTTTTTACATTAATGCAACATACGGTACATTCACAGTAAGAATTGACCACAAACTTGAAACAAGCCAACTTGTGGTTAGGTTGTGGAACTCAAGCTGAAAGGTTTCAAGTTACGATTCGGCCCTTGCTAGCTGCTGGATATGTTTCTCGATAGCCTCTATTTCAACTCCTTCACTACGCTTTTACATAGCCAATATGTTTAATAGAGAAACAACAGAACAGCCGATAACTTATTTTTGGTCGACGGTTGACAAATAAGGCTAGTTTTGCTCCGTTATCTTTGACAGATTATGGAGAGCTTTCCTGACATGTACCTCCACGCCGATCGATGTCACTGTCATTGCAGTGGTTCACATGGAAACAACAAGATAACACCTGAATTAAAAGAGCGTACGAATAACCACGAGCAGTCAACTGCGACAGAGCGCTCTGTTGAAATGAATCAAAGCGCACGTCACAACCCCGCCTGCTCGAAATGCTTAAGGAGAAGAAATGAAGGATGTTCAGAAGTAACGACAATGAACTCAAGTAGTCAAGTTTACGAACTGAAACATTTTCGGCGAATCGGTGATTACTTAGAGACTGATAAGGATGATCATTACTTCAAAGAGTTCCTTCTACCGGGGAAGGTTCTATGTAAATTTGCCCTCCTTTTAGGTAAGAGCATGACACACTAAAGCAATGCTTATTCTTTAGTAAAACGTTGTCCAGTAAGACTTATGATCAGTTAGCGTGGTTTCTAAAGTTCAGTGGGAGACCCTGTTGCTAAGCGCTGGAGTCCAAATCTAGAGGTCTGGGAGTAAGCCTTGACCGGGGAAGTTTGGGCTTCACTCTTGGGAAAGCTACAGATTTTTCTCCCAGAGGCTCTCTTAGAGTATAAATCAGTAGTTACCAGAAAACTATCTGCGAGACGTGCAAAGATTTACTCGGGCTTACTTGTTATTGACCAGCATCTCATCCTGGCAGAGTATTCAATGAGGAACAACAGCACAGTTATTACAAAGAGCAACTTGACTAGTAACCTTAATCTAGCCTTTTACCTGGGCACAAGACAACGAGAACTGAAGTCATTTGTAGAATTAGATGTCCTTAATGTTACAGCTAAACTTAATCACCTGTCACTGCTCTCTACTGAACAGGACAAAACAAATCATGACGCAAGTCATGTTTTAACATGGATTAAGTCTTAAAAATTAGTATGCCCATCTGCTGTGGACTTACCGCAAGCACGTGTACGGTCGATATTGATAAATTCCCATGGTCAAGCAAATATGAAATTCAACAAGAGAATTTAAGGAAGCAAAAAACTAGCATCGATTTTACGTCACACCAGTAACAATACCTTATATCATTCTATGCTGTTGATACTGTCAACAGATGTTAATGTTCACTGCAAGGTATGCTGCTCATCAGCTTCTAAATATATACAGCCGCTTAATACATCCATCATCTTTTTCCATCCTTCTCTTTCTCATGAATACCTTATTTGCTTGAATTTTTTTATGAACTTGATCTGTCAGTCTTATAGATGTCTAATTAATACTGCATTGTTCATACTACCGTAAACTGTTCATTCTCTACTTTCGCTTAACAGACATCGTCAATCCTCAGTCTGAGCGTTCCTGTTGCTTCACAAAGGCGTCAGTATTTTTAAACATATCATATCATGATGCTAAAAAGTTTTCCTTTGACTGTTAGATATTTAGAAAGAACAAACAAACAAATCAAGAACAAAAAGAAAACAAATAGATAAACAAAGCTTGCGCGTAACCACAAACGGCAGCAGTTCTAAATTGTTCTTTAGCAATCCGGGAATTCATTCGTTTTGCCTTACTTGGCTCGTGGATTGGTCCAGAAAACTTATCCCCTTTTTTTCAACCAATCAGCTCAGTACCGCACTAAAACCAATGGCGGCTTGGTAACTTGCATTTTCCCGCACTTCAGGAAGTTTGCCTGTCTTTACTTTGAGCTCTCATTGGCTCCTTGTGATATTTACCTTTGTTGTGAGTAGGCGTCGTGATAACTTTGGTTCTGGTTTTACGACACACTTTCAGAATACACTCTGCCATTCAGAACATGCTACTAGCTGAAGAAGTGCGGCAAAACTGGCTTGAATACCAAGTGTACTTGGATTAGGCATAGTATTTTGTTCAATCAAATTGTCGTGTTTCACGTCCCATGCATCATGTCTTTTCGCTTCAACTGCAACTTATCTCAGTTTTCCTCTCTTTCTCCTTTTTTTCCTGTGTGTAGTTATGGACATTATGCAGAGGGAACTGGCTCAGTGCTCAAAATGGCAACTATCGACGTAAGTTTTCTGTTTTTAAATGTTTGTTATCTAATACCCCTTTATCCTCCTATTTTAGCTTAAAAGAAAGAGGAATAAGAAAAGAGCGAAACATTTATTCGATATCCACCCAACAGTGATTTTGATCACTCCACATGAATCAATACTTGTTCGCAAGTTCGAAAATGATCTTTTGAGACTTTTCTTAAAGCGTTGAACTAAATCAAAAAATTTGTTCAAATGAAGAGATTCAATATGATGTTCCCTCTCCTAAGTAGTCCCTTCCCTCCCCTCCCCCCAGAGTAATGCTCATGCTCATGCACCACATCCACACGAAAAGCAACATTTAATGAAATAACTCGTAATGGAAATGTTTGATTAAGATTTTGGAGAAATGACTTTTCCTTATGTAGGACCAAGGCAAAGGAAAACTCAAGGCACTAAATTGTTTTGATTAATGCTAATCTATCACGACTATGGTATCCAAAGAGTTTTTTCTTTTCTTTTACATGATGCTTGTTTTTAGTGCAAGGGGTTGCTGGACGTTTCAATCACCACATTACACACAGAACTGGCGTATCTTTCGTAATTTGCCCGCTTTCAAAATCGGTAGATTCCTACTCAGAGCAAAGTCACCTCTATTTACGGTGTTTATTGCGCCTTCAGACCAAGTATCCTTCTTCTCATCACAGTACACTGTATCAGTGTAATAGACATTTGTTATCCTACACAGGACTCGGATATTTTCAGAAGATACCAAGATCTTTCAGATGATAAACAAAAAGCAGATCTACTGTCGATATTGAAGCTGAGGTATTTTACTCCACGCGAGGTGGCAAATCTGCATTGCTTCCCGCACGACTTTTGTGAGTATTATTATTTTTAATCATTTGTTTTCTACTTTCAATCACGATGGCGCTCGAATCTTGGGTCTTGATTTCCCATCCAAAAAAAGAGAACAACAACGACAACAACAAAACACTAAACAAAGCAAAACGCTATTTCTCTCTTTCTTGTTTTTTCGTGATCGGTTAACTTTAATGATACACTCTCAAATACCAACTACCTTCCCTTTTAGAGAAAGCGATCTTTGGTGGACTGAAGTCGTCATACTATTACTTGGGACTTTACTTACTGTCAGTTACTTTTTTTTTTGTTTTTGTTTACTTCTATTAGGTCTACCTTCGTCCTTGTCAGTCAAACAACAATATCGCTTGCTAGGAAACAGCCTTAATGTTCTCGTGGTGTCTGAGTTACTGAACTGTCTCTTCCATGCGCCATAGTTCTGCAAAAACTGGCTGGAGATTGTTCGTGACTGTACAGAAAGGAAATGATGCTAGAGCGAAACTGTGGCATTAATTATTTCTGGAAACAAGAGAGAAGAGGTGCACTTCTAAGGGAACATTCTTTGTCTGTAAATAATATAGATTTAGCCAAGAATAAATGCGGAGCTTCGGTTCGTTTAATTTTACAGCCTTATATTGATTAAAGGTTCGCAACTGGTGGGAGGTGCGAAGAATCATGTGGAATCAGGTTCTTTTCTGCGTACCAAACACGTGGGGGGAGGGGTGGAGGGCATCACTGTAAATAATTTCACTCACAGTGTGACTGGAATTGATTATGAAGATTACTCGATGATTCCTTGATGGTTTTTTCAGACAACATTTACCGCCGCCATACATCATTAACCGCCATCAGACATAATTCACCGCGAGGCTTTTGCACATTATGCTAGCATTTTTTCGAGCATTTTAGTGAGGCAAAAGCATTGAGGATTATTCGAGCATTTTAGTGGCATTTTCCCGGAAAATTAATTTTTTGCGACAAAATAAAATAGAAATTAACTTTTTTCAGGCCCGCTTTTAATTCACGAAAAAACCTAATACAGCAGAGTGGAGCTGGAGACTGAGGACAAGTCAGCGGTTTTACCTTTC